GGGTGCACCACGTGGAAGTAAGTCTATCGCACACCCCAAAAGAATGAAGGAGCATTAGAGTGTCCAATTGAGTCCTCCAGTTTCGAGCTAACGTTTGTATTGTTCAATGGATCTGAATTTAATATGTTTCTGACTAGTGCCGGAGTTAGTTCAGTTAGTTGATTCTCGATTCCCTTCCAGGCGATATCCCCACTCTTAGACTTTGGTTGTGAGAAGGTAAATTTCAGCCTTTTTAGTCCTCGTCAATTTTGTGGGCCTTTCTTATCGGGATTTTGTGTAAGAATTCCGCATGCATTAAGACTGGAATACGTATGAACAAAATGTTTTTCTCAATTTCAATTACTTTCTAATTTCAGCGTAACGAATCTACGAGTGGGGAGTTAGTTTCAGTCGCTGATTGGACGGATAATGCCTTGGCTCTCCAAGCTCTAAGACTTAACGATACCTCCTCTGGAGTAAGCCGAATCGAATGCTTTTCATCCTATTAATAATTTGTTTAAATTAAAACGTGCTTCCCGTATGTTTAGTCTACGTGGGATTCTGATCCAAATGCTGCTCAACTTGAAAGAGTTTTTGGTGCAGGCTACCATGCTCTAACACTCAATCCAACAGGCAACCAGACATCCCAACCACCTCTCCAATCGCTACCCGGACCACAACTGGAGCCTTTGCAACCTCAACCCGCTCCACTTCCTGCACCAAAACCACCCTCCCAACAGCCAATCAAAAAGAGAACGCCCTCAGAAGTGCGCAGGCTTGAAGAGGCCCTTCTCCTTTTCGATTCTTGATTTAAAGTCCCTTTGCGTTGAAATGCACAAAAGACTAAATTGACAACCTCATAATGTGATGTACATAAAGTGGAAAACAAAGTGTGTGTCATCCTTAACTTGCTGACGTCGGTGGCTATTAATGTTTCATCTTGAGACAATTTTAAATGTTATTTTCTCTTTTCTTTTTCGCTTCTTCACTTCCTCCATATGTTTCCCTCCCCCCCTTGATCTCAATATCGATGCATATCGCCTAATTGATCTTGAAGATGTGTGTACTTATCTGAGAATTATAGAGCACATCTTTAATTTGCAAGGTATTAGGGCAAGCCGGTATCCTAGGTAATAACTGATTGGACCGTTTCGGGGGGTGATGACATCTGCTACTTCATCTTATTGGCTGGAACTATTGTCTTGCCGGTTCGGATCTCTAAGATTTATGCATAGTTTCTGTAAAGGTACTTAAGATCGCTTTCCTTGGCTTTGGAGGCTAGAAAGTGGTAGTAATCAATGGCAGACGTTTTGTTAGTTATCGTCAGCCCTTTAGCTGACTTCGGGATTCACAGAGGGGAAAAGGAACATCAAAGTGAGAAAAATTCGAAAGGGGGAGTAGGAGAGCGATTTACAGATTTAAAAAAGACAGACAGACACAAAAGCAGAGAAATGGTAAGATGAGTACAGTGAGTGGTCGACTATGACATACAATGGGGTTGTGGCAGTTAGAAGTCAGAAGTCAACTGCAGTTTGTGGACTTTTCTGCCGTAGGGGTATATTTTGCCCATGGTGCACTACGTTGAGAGAAGTCTATTACACTCCTCATAATTGAATATACATCGTGGAATAATAAACTAATCTCGTCAATAATTAGGTGCGAGAGTATGGAAAACTGGCCTATTCCCAGATCAGAATGTTTTGGAAGCACAATTGAGCTATTAGAAGTCGCGAGAGAAGTAATGCAAGATGAAGATGAAATTAGTTAACTTTGAACTATTAGGTTGGCAACTAAGTCATTGCCGATTTCAAATAAGAAGGCAAATTCGGAATTTTTGTTTAAAAATATAACTTTTTTTAATTAGATATTGGCCGTTCTTGTCGATGACCTTTTTCCTTCGCTCTGGCAGAGTAAAAATTCCCCGTTCGTAAAATGTCTGGTCTTTGCTATTAAAAAACTGAATTAGGTGTGATCCGACATCATCCGCGTTGTTACAAATTTTACCATTTAAAGAGTTTTGCATGGAACGAAACAAATGGTAATCCGAAGGTGCAAGGTCCAGGGCTATATGGTGGGTGTGACAAAACATCCCAACCCAGTTCCAATAATTTTTGCCGAGTAACCAAAGATGTGTGGGGGGGGGCCTTGCGTTATCATGATGGAAAACAACACCCTTCCGCCGATTTGATAATGCCGGCCGCTTATCTTCAATTGCATCCTTCAGTTTTTCGAGTTCTTCAACATACACATCTGAATTTATCGTTTGGTTCTGCGGCATGAGTTCAAAATACAAAATTCCTTTGTGATCCCACCAGACTAACAGCATAATCTTTTTTGGGGGGTGAATCTCTGCTTTTCATACTGTTTGGGCTGGTTGATCTTGCTTCACCCATGATCTCTTGCGAGTAACGACATTGTTATAAACTATCCACTTTTCGTCGCCAGTAACTAGGTTCTTCAGAAATGGATCATTCTCATTGCGTTTCAGTAGCGGCGAATCACAGATGCTAATCCGTTGCGTCAAATGAATTTCCTTTAACTGGTGAGGGATCCATAAATCAAGTTTCTTGACATAACCAAGGGTTATGTCAATTTTTTTTCAATGCATGTATGCGACACATTGAGCTTCTCTGCAATATCTCGTGTTGTGCTGTGACGATTTGAATCGACGATAATGGCCTTGATATGGGTTTCATCCACTTTGACTGAGCGGCCAGATCGTTGTGAATTTTTCAGTGAAAAATCACCGGAACGAAATCTTTCAAATCAATTTCGACACTGCCTTTCTTTAAGGCTTCATCTCCATATACGGCACATAACTTCTTTTGTGCTTGCGATGCGTTCTTACCTTTTCGGAAGTAATACAATAAAATGTGTCGGAAGTGCACGTCCTATTCTTTCATTTTTAAATTGGGATAAAAACAAAACTAATGGAACTAAACAAATAATTTTTTTATTAATTAACCTAGAAGCCCATACAGTAAGAAAAAAATATAGGTTAGATGCTCTGGCCACGTTAACAAAACAAAAGAAAGTATAGAGTGAATCTGTCAACAAAAACGGCAATGACTTAGTTGCCAACCCAATAGTAAAACAAACTTGATCGCAAACACCAGGGAGAGAAAAGCATGTCAGAATCTCACCTACACTTGCCTTCCCGATAAAGCGTGCATGACTTTTCTGAAGAGAATGCTTTTAGCTGAATTTTAGTTCTCATAATTGTCTCAACAATTGATGTAACGGGTTTGAATACAATTGTTTTACTGATGCTGACTTGAAGTACTTTTTTATGTAAATCCTCATTAGGCATGTTTCTTTCGATGTTTAGATGAAGGCAAAGAATTATTTTATTTTTCAAATTTGCTTTCCTTTTGGAGCTGAGTCCATTTCGCCGGAACTGCAAGATGCCATATGTTTCTCTCATAAGGAAAGCAAACAACAAATGCTCATGAAAAGAAGGTACATTTTGTTAAATAAATTACGGAAGAAAATATTCATATTTTACACTCTTAGACATCAGATATTTATAAAGCCAATCAGTAAAATTGACCATGTAATCTATATAGCTTGGTTAGAATTAGTATCATGATGTCGATAATCGGTACCGAATGCAGATTTTGATTCAATTGCCAGTGATAGTATGAAATTTCATCCCATGTTCACCACGTTAAGATCTTGTCGGCGTGATAACTCTCAACCAAAAATCGATAGTAAATAATTTAGCCAATAACCGACTACTCACTATTTACATGTTCCATATTGTGGTTAGTTGTATTCGACAGACCACATAATTTACACAATAAAAGTAGGATTCTTCTGTTATAATTCCTTGGACAGAAAATATCCATAAACACCTCCTCCATCGTCATTATTAAAGCATAAATACATATTGGCCAATGAACACTGTTCTCAAAACAGGTGTGTTATTTAACTCCCGTGGTGACCACTGACTCAGGAAAATTCATGCATTCATGCGTTTGAACTCAAGTAAAACAATGCCTTAAAGAACGAGTCGGGAAAAGTTGAGCAATACAGAGAAGTGTTTAAATGATGGTAAGTAGTAAGTTCCGCTGGCGTTTCAAACTGCATAATTCACCATATAATTCATGAATTACACTCTATTCAAGCTATTCAGCGTTTCTACATCACTTTAATTAATTGCATTGCTATTTATTCAATTGCTCTTCTTGGTTCAAGGAGGAGAATTCTGTTTGGATTCACAATGATACTTGAGCATGCTTGCGCACACAGTTAGTTCCTCATTGTCTCTATAATGCCCTTCAAGCTTACAATTAAAAGGATCTAGGTCATAAGGCACCTTAAATAGAGAAAATCACAAGTTGGAGCGCTATAATTAGTTTTGATTGGGAAAACGCGTAGTTATAAAACATACCGCATTAATAGGTGAATCCATTCATTAAATTATTCACGTACCATCTACCCTAGAAATGGCGCAGCCCTTCAATAGTCGCAGTAAACTCTTCCTTTTCCAAATCACCGTGGTTTACTCTAATCCGGAAACTGGTTTTAACCAATCAGAACGTAATTTAGATGTTAAATCCATGCATAAAACCTGAATTCTCGGTATTCCTCTTTGCGTTAATAACAAATTCATGGAAGTTAAATTCAATTTCAGGCGATGCTAGTGAATAAATCTTTAATTTAAATTATCATACAGTTATTCTGAAAGACCCATAATTTACGAAAATTTCCCGCCTCTAATGAATATCTAATAAGGAAAAATTTATTTCTCCCAAGATTTAATTTTGTAAATTTACAAATTAAAAAGAATGAAGGATAATCAATGGTAATTTGTTAGTTCATTTAGTAATTAAATCATCGAAATTCACGTGTGTCAGAAATTTAATAAAAAAAGCACTATTAAAAATCGCGATTAATTAGCCTGATTCAGATTTCTTAAAAGCAATACATTAAAATTCTTTTAACTAATCAATCGATGGCTTATTGTGATACAATTTTGAAATACAATTAAAGGTGGGGAACGTGTTGAAGAACAGCTAATTTTTGATTGGAGAGCAGAGCGGTAGATGCTTCTCATTTCGGAGATCTCTCAACTCATTCAACCTATCTCTTCAGGCTTCTTCTATTCATTTTCTTAAACTCCGAAAACCCGTGTTAGATTAAATATTAGAGTAAATTTAGTCCTTTAAACGCATGAGCACTACATTAAGTCTATTATGTCTATTATTGGGGTGTGCGATACACGTGGTGCACCCTGGGCAATGCATACTCGTACGGAAAAAAGTCTATTAACCGGCAGTTGACATCCGACTTCAAACTACCATGACCCCA